TCTCTCTCTGCAGCTTTGCATATATCTTCCCCCTTGATATCGTCAATGAAGCAACTCAAAGATTTTAGTTATATTTATATGCAGAAATGGAATCAGAGCGTATCCAAAACTCCTTACCTCATCTACAACTCCTGTGGGAAACTTCCATACACCAGTCCCTCGTAACACTCCACTCTTTTCCTGAACCACGAGTACCTATAACAAAAGTTTTCAACACATCACAACATAGATTCGGACGAGGAACAACAAACACAAGATGTAACAGCTCAAGTCCACCGCTAACAGATATTGTCTGCTTTTGCTCGTTATATATTGTTGTAAGCCTCACGGGTTTAAAAAGCATCTACTAGGGAGAGGTTTTCACACCCTTACAAGGAATGCTTTGTTTCCTTCTCCCATCGACGTGGGATCTGGAAATGTACCTCTTTATTGTCGTTCAAAACAAACGCACCGACGCCAACTCGATGGGTAGCATTGACAGGAAGAGTATGAGCACATTCAGGTATCCAGTACACAAGCATCAAATACTTTGGCTCTGCGTGGTGGTACCAGAATCCTTCCTAAACGAAAGGGAAAATATAGAGAATAGAAACAATGACTTGCAGCACTTGAAAGTGCAAGTTCCTGAATCTACTGTTAAAACGATCTAAAGAAGTGTTATCAGAATATCACCTTAACAACAGCTTCAACCAGGTTAGCAAGCTCAATGGGCAGTTTAATCCAAACACCTTTTTTTCCCTGCAAAAGATTTGCTCATCATGAATATAAACAGGAGAAAATATGAATAGTTTAGTTGACACAGCGCCAGAGTATCTTCATGCAAATGATACAAACCAGCATTGGAGCAAAAGAACACTGAATTCTCTGGTACAGAGGACAATTTTCGAACACTCGGGAGTCTCAATCAAAATTCATTCAGAGATCTCACATTGATTGGAGAGGAGAACGAAACATTCGTTATAAGAGTGTATAAACCTCTCCTAGTAAACGCGTTTTAAAGCCGTAAGGCTGACGGCGGTATTAACGGGCCAAAACGAACAATATCTACTAGCGGTGGCCTTGGGCTGTTATAAATGATATTAGAGTCAGACAACGAACAGTGTGCCAGCAAGGACATAGGGCTCTCGAGGGGGGAGGATTGTGATATCTCACATTGGTTGGGAGAGGAGAACAAAACATTCCTAATAAGGGTGTAGAAACTTCTCACTAGTAGACGCGTTTTAAAACCGTGAGGCTGACGGCAACACGTAACGGGCCAAAGCAGACAATATCTCCTAGCGGTAGGCTTGGGCTGTTATAAATGATATTAGAGTCAAACATCGGGTGGTGTGCCAGCGAGAACACTGGGCTCTCGAGGGAAGTGGATTGTGATATCCCACATTGGTTGGAGAGGAGACTGAAACATTTATTGTAAGGGTGTGGAAGCCCCTTCCTAGTAGGCTGATGACGATACATAACGGGTCAAAATGGACAATATCTACTAGTAGTGAGCTTGAACTGTTACAAATGGAATCAGAGTCAGATATCAGGTGGTGTGCCAACAAAGACACTAGGCTCTCGAGGGGAGTGGATTATGAGATTGCACATTGGTTGGAGAGGAGAACGAAACATTACTTATAAGGGTATGGAAACTTCTCCTTAACAGATGCGTTATAAAACCGTGAGACTGACAACAATACTAACGGGCCAAAGTGGAAAATACTAGCGGTTTGGATGCTTGAGATCACATGCTCAAGAAGTCAAAAGAAATGGCAGATGTATCAAAACCCTAAACAAATATTCATTACTTCTTACAGCGGCATTAAAATTTGAAGCAAAAGCAAAAGCAAAAGCTTGCCTACCATAGTCCAGTTGACAAAGAAATGAAGATGGAGTAAGCATGTCCTGATAGTATTTGAAGGTGTGTAAACAAAAGGGGCAGAAAAGTTTACTACTGAACTCATCAACCTGTTGTTTCCAATGTGAAATTGAAGCTCTAAGGATGGGCACAAAGACCTCAGAGTCCATAGCTTTATCCATTTCCACAATAACGCCTCCATGATTATCGTTGGTTGCATCAAGTACTTCAACCAGTTGAACCTCATTTGCAGCTGGGACTTCCTCCATAAACAATGTTGACTTAGCAGAAACTGAAAGGGAATTGCTGCAAAAAGAAGCTGGATTTCTGACCCCAATGCCTATAACATAAGAACCAATTAGTTTCATGCTAAACTCTCCATTACAGGAACAGTTCAGTGGATTCTCATTCACTGAATCCATAAAACATTGTGAAAAACGGAAGCCGGTCGAATGGGGAACAAAACATTCTTTATAAGAGCACATTCTTTATAAGAGCGTGGAAACCTCTCTCTAGCAGACGCATTTTAAAAACCTCAAAGGAAAACTCGAAAGAAAAGGTTCAAAAAGGACAATATCTCATAGCGGTGAGTTTGAGCTGTTACAAATGGTATTAGAGTCAGATATCGAGCGGCATGCCAGCGAGTATGCTGAGCCCTGAAAGGGGGTGGACACCTGATAGTGTGCTAGCGATGTCCTAAAAGGGAGTGGATTATGAGATCTCACCTTGGTTGGAGAGAGAAACAAAACATTCTTGATAAGGGTGTGGAAACTTCCCTCTAGTAGACGCGTTTTAGAAACTTTGAGGGGAAGTCTGAAAGGGAAAGCTCAAAAAGGATCATATCTGTTAATGGTGAACTTGTGCTGTTACAAATGGTATCAGAGTCAAACATCAAGTGGTGTGCCAGCGAGAACGTTGAGCCCTGAAAAGGAGTGGACACCGGATGGTGTGACAACAATGACACTCGCTCCGAAGGAGGTGAATTGTGAGATCCAACATCGGTTAGAGAAGGAAACAAAGCATTCTTTAAGAGGGAGCATTCTTTAGCAGCGAGGTTGAGCTCTTATTGTATCTTATTGTATCAAGATAACTGACTTCGTTCCAAAACTATGACTCCCAGATGGGTATTGTAAACATAAACAAACAACAGCAAGACAAACATTTAAACTGATTGATACAATCGAGAGTGAACTACAAGTTAGCCAAACACTCGTTTCATCGTTCTAGACAGGCAACATAAACACAACACATTAATAATCAATGTACCAGAACCTCCAACTCCTACATAACAACCAAAGTTTACGAAAAACCCAGAAGCATTAATAAAACATCTCAAATTTTCAGGTCCATTAACGTCACTAAATCGAGAGACAAGGACACAAATGTGAAGATCAGAACCTGGGCAGTGAAGAACAGATATGGATGTAAAGCAAGCAGTGGCAGAGAAAGGGAGGCAATGAAATCCCAGAAAGTTGGAGGGAGATGTCCGAGTGGTTCTGAAAATCGGCACTAGAGTGGAAGAAAACAAAAGGGATCTGATCATTGAGCCTCAGCAGTCTCCTCTATTGCTCCAACTCCTCGATGTTCTGCTTAATTTTCTGGGAGTTAGTTTGGACTAGTCGATTCCCTTTGATTGATACCCAAAAATTAATACGAAAATGACACTACCACAATTTCCAAAATCTAAGAGGCTACCGGGCGCCCACGTCGGCGCAACTCGCCCCACAGCTTTGAATATTGTGCAGTTCGTTAATGTCTTTTGATGAAGATTATATTTTTAATTAAACGAAGCATTTAAGCGTTAACTTTGGTGGGTTATTGTGATTAAATAATTTAAGTGTGTTTATAAACGAACAAAGAGTTGATAATTAATAAAAAAAAGTAGTATTGGATTCTATTGTCTGAAAGATCACATCATTGGATAAAAACAAGGAACAAAAAGTTCATAATGTTACAAAAAGTTTGCATTCCTGGCTTTATATAAGAACTTCAAACAAATAAAAGTATTGAAGAGACATATTATCAAGTTTGGCCCATTACGAATTGTCGTCAGCTTTACGATTTTAAAACGCGTCTACTGTGGAGAGGGTTTAGCCCTACTTCAACTAGTGTCTCACACCATCTGATGACTAGCTTGATACTATTTGTAACCGCTCAAGCCCACTGAAAAATAAATATTGTTATGTTTAGGCTTTCCTCTCAAGATATAAGATCTCACGTTTAGAAAGGGAAATGAAATATTCTTTAGGGTGCGAAAATTCCTTAATGAGAGATAGGTTTTAAAACATTGAAGGAAACCTATAAATAAAAGTCCATTAATTATGAACAAATTTAAATGCAATAAATACACAGAGTACTAGAAAGAGAAATGACAAAAGAGTGCAAGACAAAAGAAACTTAATGTGAAAACCAATGTAGGGTTCAATTGAGGTCGAGTTCAATTTGCCTTTGGATTGGGTCAAAGGTATGGTGGCTTTGAGTTTGGTTGGACTCTCCGCTAATATGAGATTTTAGGTCAGTTGGAGAGGAAAACGAAACATTTCTTATAAAAGTGTGAAAATCTGTCCATAATAGACGCGTTTTAAAATCGTGAGGCTAACGATGAATGTATAACGGATTAAAATAGACAACATCTGCTAACGACGACCTTAGGTTGTTGAGCCCAACACTTGACATTGTGGCTATGAGGATGTTGGTACCTAAGGAGGTGGATTAAGAGGTGGATTAAGAGATCTCACATTAGTTGGAGAGAGATGTCAAAACGGATAATATCTGTTAGCGTAAACTTTGGTGGCCGTTGCATTATTTTTATATAAAAATCCACATAAGCATAAACCCTACATCCAGGTGCCAGCACACGTGTGTTTCTTCTTCTCCTTGGTAGTGCCCTCATCCTCTCCAATTTCGAGTAATTCAAAGTTCAAAGCGTACATGGTGGAGGATGGACCTTCCTTCATTGAGTCACTGTCTCTTTCCAACCTCACCCATCCCACTTTTTCCCTCTTTAATCAGTCCACATGGCAGCAAAGTCAGGTACCCCTCACAAAGATTCTAAATTCATCGTAAATCTCTCTTTAATTTCGCATTGCTTTTACTTTTCAAACATGCTTGTCCAAATCATTTACTCCCGTCAAACTCGAACTCACCATGGGCCACCATCCACGACTGTTTCTAGTCAAAATCTCGCTCTCCCAGACCATCTTTTTTCCCTTTCCCTTTGAAACTGGTTCTCTTTATCACTCCGCCCTTCAACTGTTCGATGAAATGACACCCTTCACCAACCCTTAATACCCCTTTATTTTCATTTCAAACCTCACTTGCCTGGTTCTTGGTTAAGCCCTCTTCCATCTCTGCCTCTTTCTCTGAGTGGTATCTTCTTTACTTTCGTTTTGATTTCTGGGGTTTTTGGGGTTTTACCTTTTCTTGTTTCTGTGAACTTGTGTAGATGTACTCAGATCGCTTTGTATAGATGCAAGAAATGGTTGAAATGTGGTTCTTTGGTCGTTTGATTTAATGGGTCCAATGTTTGGTCATTTATTTTACTTTAAAATCCATCATCTTGGCTTTTAATTGCAGCTTTTCTGGTGCTTCTACACGTTTTGAAGCTACCCTGTATACGCCTTCTTTTTAGTTGGATGCTGCCATGGAAAGTGAATCAACTAGCGAGAGGTTGGGATTGCTTAAAGTGGTTGTGATTCAAGGGAAGAAGCTAGTAATTCGTGATTTCAAGAGCAGCGATCCTTATGTTGTTGTCAAGTTGGGCAATCAGGTCATTTCTTGTCTTGCCTTCTTCTATCACCCTTGTGCTCTGATGTGGTTTGTTAAATAATTTCATTTCAATACATTGTTTTTCAGACAGCCAAGACCAAAGTTATCAATAGCTGCCTTAACCCTGTTTGGAATGAAGAGCTAAGCTTCTCCCTCACCCAACCTGTCAAAGATCTGACATTAGTAAGATTCTGCTTGTCAGCTTTTTGACCTATTGTTGTCTGTATTCATTGAGATAGTCCCTGTTCTTATTTTCTCCGTTGCTCATCCATTGCTTTTTTCTCCAAAGTTGCATAACTTTGAATTGATATCTTCCATTAGGCCGTAATGAATTATACAGATTGTCTCCATCAGGCTGTCATGATTTGTGCATAAGCAAGGATTTTGGTTATGCAAAAGAAGTGTGGTTATGATGGCTTATTTCAATATGGGAACTCATTAATACCATTACAAGTATTAAAATAATTATGGTCAATGAAAGAGTGCATATTGTTTTGTTAGCTAGGCTATCTTATGTTTGTGTTATCAAAGTCCCCCGTGGGATCCCACATCAGTTGGAGATCAGAACAAAACATTTCTTATAAGGGTGTAGAAACATTTTCCTAACAAACTCATTTTAAACCTTGAGGGGAAGCCCTTGAAGGGAAAGCCTAAAGAGGACAATATCTGCTATAGCGGTGGGCTTGGGTTGTTACAAATGGTATCAGAGTTAGGCATTGGGTGATGTGCCAGCGAGGACGTTGGGCGCTCAAGGAGGGTGGATTGTGAGATCCCACATCGGTTGGAGAGGAGGATGAAACATTCCTTATAAAGGTGTGGAAAGCTCTCCCTAGCAGACACGTTTTAAAACCTTGAAGGAAAGTCCTTGAAGGGAAAACCCAAAGAGGACAAAATCGGTTAGCGGTGGGCTTGGTTACAAAGGAAAAAAAAGTTGTTGATTGTTCATTCGTCTTTGCGTATAGTCTTCTATCATACTCTATAGCTCGGTATTCTGATCTATTCCTGGGACTGAAGTACTCGAAATGAAATTAGAACAATGTTTGATGATTTCTTGTTTCAGAAAGAAGAAACTACGGAAACTCTAGTATGAATAACTCAAAGCAACCAAAAATTTACGTTCTTTCTGCAGGAAGTGTTTGACAAAGATCGGTTCAAGTCAGATGACAAGATGGGACATGCCGAGCTGAGTCTTAAACCGATAGTTTCGGCTGCTCGATTGAGACGTGCTCTTGGAATTTCATTGGGGGCAACAATGTTAAGAAAGGTTACTCCAGACACTGATAACTGCCTAGCAAGGGACAGCAGCATTAGTTGCATGGAGGGAGGGGGCGTAACACAGAGCGTTTGGTTGAAGCTTCGTGACGTAGAATCTGGTGAAATAGAGCTAAAGATCAAGTTCATCGATCAACCTGGTCGGCCATCCAGATAAAGATTACAGGAAGTTCTCGGCCTCGAGTTATGGGGTAGCCTGTAAATTTGCTTCCATTTCCATAGTTTTGATCTGTCTGCAGCCTACTGTTTCAAGTGATTATGAGTAGAATGAGGCAGGTTTAGTGTCTGAAGCTTGTGTTAGTGTGTGCTTGTGGGTTTTTCATGGGAATGGACATAGTGAATAGGCTTGGAAAGTCCATTCTCGTAGTTGGATAATATTATAGACATGGATAATTGACCATCATCCTTCATCCTCTCTCAGAAATTCGTTAGATAATAAAAACTAAAATAGACATTTTCATCTCCTTTTGACTTGTTGACTTGTTGATAACCCGTCGAACCGTTTTGTTCGTCGTTTTGTATGTTGGATCAACCTCCAGTTCGTTTATCTTATACGTTGGACCAATCTTCTCTTACACGTGTTTTATTTGAAGGGGTGGCATGTCGAAGTGTTCTTGAACTAAAAGTCTTAGAACAAGTTTTCTATTTTCCGAAGTCTTTTCGTCTTAAGTAGTTTATTCTCTAGACTCATTTGAACTTGGTCAAACATCATTGACCCAATTTGACCAACGATTATAATGAAGACATGTGCTACTATTGGATTCAACCATTTTTTTAAAAAAAATCATTATTAATTAAGAAATGGAATAAATTTTTGATTGATTAAAATTTATAATTCATTATAAATTAAACAAAAATTTGTAAGTTTGGATAAAGATAGTTAATGATTGTATTAGTTAAATTTAATTTTGTGCCAAACTTAGTTTACCATTCTATTAATGAGTTTTGGATAAATTAGTGGATGAATTAATAAAAATTATGTTGGGGGTAAAATTGTAATTCGATTAGAATTTTAATTTAAGAAAATTGAGGGAAAAAAAAAAAGACGAAAAGAAACGAAACGACAGCATGAACTAAATAAATTGTAAACATGATCGTTGTTCTTGTTGTAAATTATGAAGAATTTGACAGAATGAGTTTGAGGTTCAAAGAAGTGATCGACTCAGAATCAGAGACGAAGATCCCTCGTCCTTTAGATTTAGGAAGGCGACAGACATTGGATCTCGGAAACGGAAGCGAAATCGTCTATATTAGCAAGTTCGTGTCCTCCGATCAGGCTTGGACCTGGTTCGATTTTCTCAATCAACACATTCCATGGACCAGACCGACGATTCGCGTCTTCGGTCGCTCCGTCGTCCAGGTCTTCACTTTTTTCGATTATGTTCTCTCGTTTAGTTCATTGTCAACCTAATTAGCAATTGAAGATTTAACGACCGACTGTTGGTTGTCTTAGATGATTTTCCTTCTTTCCCGCCATTCTTTATATCGGGATTTTGCGTTCTTTCTGAAGAGCTATTGCATTTTCTAATATGCAGCCTAGAGATACTTGTTACGTTGTGAATCCTGGATTGACGATATATAGTTATAGTGGGTATAAACCTCATGCCTATACTTGGGATGATTTTCCTCCTCTTAAGGACATTTTGAATGCTGTAAGATATTTTGATTCAATCTTTCCCTATTGGGTTCTCTTTTTGGCTTCTTTAGCTACAAGTTCTCGATGACGTTTCTAGTGGCTCCTAATTGTCTTCACTTTTTCTCTGTCAAGGTTCACGAAGCTCTACCGGGGAGTAGTTTTAATAGCTTACTATTGAATAGATATAAAGGTGGAAATGATTATGTGGGTTGGCATTCTGATGATGAGAAGCTTTATGCATTGAACCAGGAGATTGCTTCTGTATCATTTGGATGTGAGCGAGATTTCTTGTTGAAAAAGAAGTCCAACAAAACTTCTCAACGTATGCGGTTTAGTTCATCTGTTTTTCTCGTCTTCGTTCTGATTTTGAAAAGCTCTTTTGTCAAATCATCAGTCTTTTGCTCAATTGATTTCTTCACTTCAAAAAGTTTCATTATCTTATGGTTTATTTGATGTGGCCCCAGGAAGGAATGATGAGGAACCTCCAGCCAAGAAATCAAAGAAAAGCAGTGTGGCTGATACACACTCTTTTGTTCTAAAGCATGGTTCGCTTTTGGTTATGAAAGGCTACACTCAACGAGATTGGATGCATTCAGTGCCTAAGCGCCTGAAGGCAGAGGCAACCCGCATCAACCTTACTTTCAGGCACGTTTGTTGATTTATCTTGAAGTTAATACAGGATTATTGTAGGAATGTCCTTCATCTTTTCCAAGTGGACGTATCTTGGAATGGGCGTCCATTGGTTTTGGTATGTTTTTTCCTTGTTTATCGTGGACATTTCTTTCATAGATCAATGCAAGGGGGAAGAGCTCCAGTTTCTAACTTGGCTCATCTAATATGGTAGCTTCCCTGTCTCTCATTGCAATTTATATTCTTACCGATGGTTCATTTTCAACTACACCCCCACAATTATCCAAATTCAAATTCATCTTTTAATTTGCCACTTTAATCTATATAATGTATGTGCAATAGCTTAAATTTTAGAACTAGAAACTTTGAGTACAAGTAATTATGTGGTTTCAGATAATAAAACCAAGTGATAATTAAAAATTAGCCGTGAAAAGGCTATATATTAAGAAGCGAACTTTATATATCAACCAGGCACGTCTCAAGATACATCTTGGATATGACTCTCCATTGCTTTAGAGGTGGATGTTGCCATTACGGAACTGGGACTGCCCATATGGCTACTATTAGTGTTGGAATCAGTAAAGCCAGATTTTCCTTTCCATCTCCTCAATGAAGGAATATGCACCATCAATGAAAGAAATTCATCTCAAAATTTGCCTTTGCTTCAATCACTACATTATTTCCAGTTCAATCAGTGTATCAGAAATCCCATTCTCATACTTCCGAAACTCAGATTCAACAGTTTTAGCTGCTCCTTTGCTTTTTGATGCTGATGCCTGAAGGGTTACATGAAAAGATCCTTTTCTAATTGGCTCAGTAGGTTCATTGATCATGGATTGTTGCTTGATGTAGCTGTATAGCTGTTGATGAAAAAAGTGGTCCGAGGAATAGCAATTATTGCCTCCTTGATGAGCCGATGACCGGGAGGACAATGAGCTCCCTCTTTTACAGAAATGTGGAAGAGAGGTATAATCCATTATCTACAAGAAATAGAGAACAATTAAAGCATCATCACTTGCATATGGTAGAGAATCCCGTTATTTGATTATTGTATTTCCCCCACTAGTGTTTAACACTGCTCTTGCCACTCTTAATTGTCTAACAATAGCATATGTACCTTGCTTTATACACTCGATATGTTGTTCTTTATGGAATGTTTCGGAAAACTTGATTCTAGCTTCCATTGTCAAATGAAATGTCAAAACTTTTTGTATAAAAAAACATTTAGTGGTCCATTTTATTTATAATATATTCAAGCAGGCCAAAAAAGAGCTTTTATGTTTGATAAGAGTCAGCCATTTTTACATTCTTTAAATGATGCAGGCCTTACCTTCAACAGCTCATCTCTCCCGCAGCCTGGCAACACTTGAACCTTTTTCCTTGTCCTTTCATGTAAGAGAGGCTTGACAACCTGCAATATCAAAGAGAATACATGACTATACACATCAGACAGGTGTTGAAGGAAAAATTATTGCAACACTCAAGGTACAAAATCAACCAAGATCAGTCTCTTCAATGGTTTACCTTCCAACAGGACGAAAAGACGTAAGGTACATTTACAATGTAGTAAGCAGTTGTTCTCTCTGGGTAGTTCAGATCATCAATGGTTGATAAAATTGTCAGGAACTGCAGAAACATGAGACATTAGCGGTTGCATGATCATTAGAGATCTGGGAAATCCTTGATTTGTTAGTCATAAATTGCATATTTAAGGTATCAAAATACATCATAAGTTTTCTTTCCACTTTACTATAGTTTATTATGGAGAATATGTTCCTCACCATTATAGTCTTGTTTTAAAATGATGGTCAGAAAGAAATTCTTCCAGACAACAGATTTTATAAACAAAATGATCTTCGTTGAATCTTTTCTTTTTGGTCTCTTTTTTCTTCTTTTTCTTCCCTCAAAATCGCACAATCCAGTGTGAACTTGATTTGTGATAAATGGATTCAAACTAAAGAAATTAACTTTGTGATCTTATTGTGCGGATTTGTCATTAATTTATACCAATCAGAACCGCAAGAAACGGAATCAGATTTACATGGCTATATTTAACTTGCACTGACATCTATTGGAGACAATTGTAGGAAAAGAGAATACCTTTATGTGGCCAAGTGCCGAAAGCTTCAGACCAGTCATATCTAAAATCTTCACGCAACTAGTGATGGGCCTTCCATACTTTTTTGATGCAGAAGGCTACAGCAAAAATGTACGTGTTAATGATACTAGGAGAGAAGCTTCTTTTGAATCCCAGAATTCAGAAACTCACCAGAATAACACGATCTCGATACTCATTGATTTGTATGTGCGACTGCACATAATCATGCACCTGTGAAGAGATCAAAACACCGGTTAGTAAACTTGACAAGCTTCTCAGTTTCTCTCTGGTTTTTGAAGTACATATTTTCAAAATCTAGGCTGCTGTTTGTGGCATCGAAATTCACGAAAGGGTCAATTATTTGTTTGGAAGATGAACTGAACCGCGAATACTTACATGTTCTTTGTCTAATGTGCTGAGCCCAACACCAATGGCAAATATGGGAAGGCCCTGAGGTGAAACAGAACAAGTTGTAGGTTAGAACGGCTGGCTATATGCTGATCTCATTAGAACAAGGTATCCTAAGATTACAGGGATTGCTGGTTAAACAAGACAGAAATTGATTAACAAAACTCAGACCTCTTTTGAGTAGCCCGAAAGTCCTACGAGCTGTGAATCTCTCACTGATCTATAGACATCAGCAGGAAATATTGGCTTCTGCAGACAATAAAATGCTGTCAAGAAAAGAATTGGGAGCCAGCGCAGTAAACGAGCCGTTGAAACACTTACCCTTAATATCTTGTCAATCTGGTTTTCCACCCTCCATTTTAAACAGTCAACCAGCTGCAACATTAAAGAGGAATGGTTTGTCAGCATATCTTAGTAATGCATATGACAGTTTGATGTTTACAGAAGTTCAACCAAAAACATGCGTCTAACCATTTTATGAGCCTTGCCAACGTCGTAGTCTCGTGCCCTTAGGAAACGGTCCAGCGTTTCTATTAAGAATCCTTGATGAACATTCTGCAAATAGATCATTCGATGTCATTTACAAAAAGTTTCATAAGAGGTCATTTGGGCTTCAACCCAACAGAACTAACAGCATTTTAAGCTCTTAGAACTTGCAGGTCGCATACAGAAGATGGAGGATAGAAGAAGAAGAAGAAAGCTGGCGAACCTGAAAGGATTTCCTCGTTGAGTGATCAACTGCAGGTGACGAAATTAAACAGATGGAACAAATGGTTATTAGGGAATGAAGTTTTCAGAACTGGAATTGAAGAAAACAGAATTGATCACTGACCTTGATCCATCAGAACTTTGAGCTTCTTGATCGCGTCCTGAGGATTGACACCCATTTGGTCCTTCTCAAGAAGAATAGAAATTGCACCAAAGCTAAATACAATCTGCCAAAGCTCCTGCTTCTCTAATTCTCTCTGTTTTTCTCTCTGCAGGGCTTGAAACTCAAGGTTGAAAACCAGCTCAAGTACGAGAATGACGATGCTAGAATACAAGAAGAGCCCGGACAAGAAAGTGAACCTAAGATCTCGCAAGTCACAACCTTTAGAGGCCAGGCTGCTGTTTAAATACCAAAGGGGTCTCACACGGACTCGCCCTTCTTTATGGCCCTGTCCTTCTCAATGCCTGTTAAGCTCACGCAAAAGTCATCAGTGTCTTGTGGGAATCTCACTACGACCCTTAAAAAATGAAGCAAAGAAGAGGAAAAAGGAGCTGCTTACATTCTGAATGGGTTCTTCGTGTCGAAGTTGCTGGCTCTGGTTTGTTTCCCTTTCCAGTTTTCGCTTCCGTATTTCTTTTTCAGTATTCTCCTCTCCACTAATAAATATATATCACAATCATTCAATCTCGGCCGTCCAATGGTCCTTGCATGTGCCCATCACCATTTGATTTCGGGTTCCTTTTCTTCTTCCATTTGTTCTTTTTATTCCCAAACACTGTGGCCAGTTAATTGTGGAAAGCAAAGCCGTGGGAACCTTCTTGAATAGGAAAGGTGCAGGGAAAATCCCCATTCCCTTGCTTGTTGGAGCCTAAAGTCAGGAAATTTGGTAGCTTTAGCGCACAAATATGTTGGAGAAAACTTCGTAGAGATGTTTGAGGGAGTGCCAAAGGTTTGTGAGTCTTGGATTCTTTAGTTAATTAGGGACTTTGAATAATGTACGATTTGAGTTTGAGATTAAGGTAATAGGTTAGAGAAACTCGGACTATCTATATAATTCTCTCACACACATATATAGACCAAATTATTAAATTAAAAGGATAGCTCGGTCTTATTTGTTTATTGGAATCGGAATCGAGGAATGAGAATAGAATATGGGACTCTTTCTAAATTTCGTAATTTTATTTGCATTCTTCGTTTATTAAACAGAGATCATCTCATTCTCATTCCATTTTTTTTATAGCACATGCTATACTTTTTTGTTTATTTTATTCCGATTGTCATTTTTGTCTCCTTTTAAGTTCTGTCGTGAGTCGGAAGAACTTTTTGTTTTTGTTTTTTTTTTTTTATGTAATCCTATTGTTCCGTCTTTCTACTCACTTCCTATTCTCGCCTCTTTTTTTTACTTGTTTGATATTGGTTTCCACCGTGCTTCTACACTTGAGAGGCACGAGACTCATCCTTTGACAATTCTTAATCTAGAGTACATGCTCGAGTATTCATGTAAGTCTGATCAATTTGCTCATTAAGTTTTCAAACCGTTTGATCACAAATGGTCTTCTTCTCTAACTCTCCCTTAAAGTTGTGCGGGGTTTTATTGATAATATAGTTTAATTTAAATACTTTATTATAAATATTAATAAATAAAATAAAATCCACATTCCATAATTTAAGAGTTGAAAAACAAAAGTAAAATTTATAATGTAATAAACAATATGAAGATTTTAAAACATAAAAGTTGACCAAACCGAAAGTGGCTTTTTTTAATCCAAAGCCGAAAGATTCCTTTAAATAAAGGCTATATAGCCAAGGGGTGTAGCTATACGTACACTTTAGATTCTATTATTATTATTATTTTGAAAAATACTTTTAAAAGCTTTTTTTAAATAATAATAATAATATTATTATTATTATTATTATTATTATTTATTGTTATGAAAAATACTATTGAAAGCATTGGTAAACATCAATCAACTTCATATATATATTTTTTAAAAATACTATCTTTTTAATCTTAAAAATAAATATTGAACAGATTAATATCCACTAAGGTCTAAATATATATATATATTGAACAAATTATTATTTTTTATTAATATATATATATCAGAGGTTCATTATTGGGCCAGTGTCTTTTGGGCCTCAACAGTTACTTTTCAATTGGGCTTCATAAAGTGCTTTGTTAATCACAAGTGAGTGCTAAAGTAGATGAGAACCTTTGTAAATACCAAACAAAAATATGTTTTCTTAAAGGTTATATATATATGTTTTATTCTCCAATATTTTGATTACTTTTTAATTTAATTTTATGATATAATTTTTTTTTTTCATTAGAAAAGAATTTTAAAAAGAGATAAGAAAATTGAATATTTCTATCGCTTACTTATATTTAATCATGTTTCTTTTTAATATCAAGTTAAGTCTCGATAAATTCCTGCTTTTATTCAGCCATGCGAGATTAAATAAAAAAATATTATATCTTAATCGATTAGGTTTGAAATTGACAAGCATAGACAAACTAAATATCGGTCGAAAAAAATGTTAAAAATTAAATGATTACATTTGACTTGAAAAAAATATAGAAATATTAAAATGGAAATTATCTGATATTCGAATATTCCAATGGTATTTTGGTGCCATGTCAACTTTGACAACCACCAACATCTGTGGACTGTATATAAATATTCATTGGGGTTTTAATTTAAATACAGCCCATTATAATTAATTTATTAAAGAAATAGCACTATACGTACATGCATACTTTAATTTCTTAAAATTAATTTCAAATAATAACTAATAGTATTTAATTTTTGCTATTGTAACTGTCCAGATTCATCGCTAGCACATATTGTTTCCTTTTAGGCTTCCCTTCATAGTTTTAAAACGTGTCTGTTAGTGGAAGGTTTCCTACACTCTTATAAACCGTATTTTCTTCTCCTCCCTAACTAAGGTGGGACATCGTGATCAAATTTGTCTCTAAATTATTATTAACGAAAGTGTTCTTCAAACGTAAAATTTAATTTTATTAAATTTATATTTTTAATTGATTAAGTTAATAGGCAATAAAAAAAAAAAATATATATATATATATATATAGGTTAAACAATTTTAAAATAGAATAATTTTTAAAATGAATAAATAAGTATACTAATTAATCCGGGTCAAATGTTTGTTATCACTAAAGCTGTATTCAATTATGTTCGATTTGATATTATCTACTTTGAGTATAATCTCGCGTACCCAACTCTTATCCCAACAATCTTCAAAGGGATTATCTTACCATTAAAGCTATGTTCGGCTATGATCGACTATGTTCGTGTTAGATCCGACCTCAAGAAATTGATTTTTTTTTTTTTTTTTTTTTTAAATAAGTGGAATGATTACAAACACATGGAACCATTATAAACAATCACATAATATAGGTGGAAGAGACCGTACGAAAAAAAGTCAAACCAAATGACTCCAAGTAGTTGGAAAATCGGAGCCCCGCCACAAGGGAGTTAATACGGTACTCACATTGGCCTCCTGGTTTTTCCTTGTATTCTCAAATCTGGGCGACTTTGATTCCCGACCTTCATCGGCCATGTCGGCGTTGCCATCTCCGGCGGAGGCCAGGCACTTCCACTCCGATGAAGGGCTCGAAAGTGAGTTCAGCAATTACAAGTACAGCAACAGCACAAGCGAGATCGAGGAAGAGGATGAGACGTTTGAGGTTAAACGGAAAATGGTTTCGCCGGCGGCGGCGTTAGAGAGCATCAGAGAAGATTACAGTGGTGGGTGTTCGTTCTCGTCGGATGCTCTGAAATGGGAAGATTGCGTTTATGTTGGAGTGGAGAAAGGCGATTCCAGTATTGATGCACTTCAATGGACGCTCAAGAACGCCATTACAGCTTCCACCACTGTCGTCTATCTTTTGCATGTCTTCCCTGAAACACGTTACATTCCTAGCCCATGTAATTTCTGATAACTCTGTTTCTATGGCTCTCTCTCTTTCTCTCTCTTCTTCTTCTTTTTTCTCTCTCCTTCATGGTCAAAGTCTTATGTCTGGAGCTTTAGCTTTAAGTTAGAAAGAGGTCATTTGGCATGGTGGGAATGGGTCTGAGATGGATGATTTACTGCTTGCAGAGAATCTCTGCTCTGATGCTTTTGTTTGTATTTGACACTTTTATTTCAGATTCTTCTTCTTTGCTGGTCTGTGCGCATGCTTATGTTCTACAGTATCATGTGTTTGAGAGGACAAAAGTTTTTAACTTTATTTCTGGGTTCTGTTGGACTTGAACAGAGGATGAGTGATGAACAGAGACTCCAGAACGTTGATTTTTTTATCTTGTTTGGAGTCTGTTGGATATAATTATGAATCTATGAGGGTCTGTGTTTGTTTCTGTGATGGCAGTGGGAAAGATTCCAATAAATCAGGTTAGTAAACAGCAAGTGGCTATCCATGTAGCACAAGAAGAGAGCAAAAGGAAGGATTTTCTTCAGAGTTTCATTGACTCCTGCTCTGCAGCTAAGGTACCCAAAAGAAATGGCTGTTTTCTAAGCTAATGAGTATGAGATTTTGTTTTGTTTCTCACTTATTGATGAAACAGGTTAAGGCAGATACTGTGCTGATTGAGAGTGACAAGGTGGCTAGGGCAATTTTGGATGTTATTCCAATTCTCAATATAAGAAAGCTAGTTCTTGGAGTCAACAGATCCAGGTACCTTTCTCTAGATGTCAAAGCAAATTCATCAGCTCAACATACAAAAGTTTTTGCTTCATTGTCAATTGGCAATCATTAGGAAGTCGAGATCTCGAGGGGGAAGCGGAATAGCTAATGAGGTACTTCAGAAAGCTCCAGGATTTTGTGAGGTAAAGATTGTTTGTGAAGGGAAAGAAACGAGCCAACCGGGTGGATCACCCTCTCCTCTCTGTTCTCCTCGCTACCAAGATGATAACTCCGATAACTCCAAGGGTAATAACGATCCTAATTCCAGCGTTTCAGAAGCTCAAGAACAACGAAACAATTCAGTTTCTTGTATGTGTTTTAAAACTAAGTTTGTCTGAGCTACGTGTATAAGGAGTATATTAGGAGCTCTCTTGTGCCTAAGATTGTGTAGTTTTATGGTACTGATGTTCTTTGGTGCTTTCTTCCTATAAAGGATCATCACTTCTATGTAAATGAACTTCAATGAGATTAGATGAATGCAAAAGATTGATATTCCTATGGAGATAGTCTGGATCCTGGTGCTGAAAATAGCTAAGCATGTACATTCTGATGAATCAAGCCATTAGAGGAAAG